TCATTGACTGATCTTGTCTTATGAACATGCTGAACACATTCAAAGTTTTTTTCTGAAGTTACAACAATATATTACACTTTAAATATCTACTATTCCATATTTTAATCAACAAATTTGAAAAAAAAAATTAAACATTCTTCCAACTTTTAACTTTTTTCCCTAAAAATCCACCTAAAGTAAATAATCTACTTTCAAAGAGGAATAACTCTCTCTCAGTCTCTTCTAATCAACAGAAGGCAACAGATGTACATGATACATCAGTTAATCACCAACTGTTCACAAGTATACAAATACAGACCAAGTACTAAATTGATTGTCCATTATTTCCCTGATAAAAAGGCCCATCCTACAACTTCTAAGTGTTTTACACACAAACACAAATGGATTTACTAAATGTAGCAATTCAACAGTGATTTAATCTATTACGCAGGGTATAAAAGCAAGCAACTTTTAAATTTCTCTGTGCCATTGAAGATTACACCTACACTTTTGTCGAGCTTTGATGTGCACCACAAACAATTTACAAGCACTTTACAGAAATATAACAATCTTCTACTACTAAAATTTATAGATTTTTAAAACGTTAATTTTTAATAACGAGGTATATTAATTTAGTAGTTTTGCCAGCAGTACATTAAGGTACTCCTGAATTTTGCAGCAAATAAAGCCTGAATACACTCCTATTTGTATATATATAAAGAAAATTAATCTTGGTTTCCGAAATAGACTGAGAACATGCAATTTCGAAAAAAGGGACTTTGGCAAGTCTAGTGTAAGAAGTACAATTGAAATTCTTCTAAACTACATATTAATGCTCCTAATGATATCATAATTTACAAGTGCTCTACTCAAAGATAGTATTTCAAGTTGCCCTATGAGTAACCATGGCTGTTAGAGTCACCGCATTTTGAAATTCAAGGGGGTCAAAGAGAGTTGACCGTCTAAGTGCCTCATAAGCAAATGACCCTCCCCCCCTTAAGCAGAGTTTTCTGTCTCCCCCCACTCCTGTAAACAATGTTGCTTTTTTTAGTCATAAAGAGAGTTTTAAGTGCATTATTAAGTAACAGGATTATCACTCAAGAGTAATATCCTTAGTACTTGTGCTATTAAACAATGAGTTAGTAGTTTACATTGAAACAGGAAGAACACAACATAATCCTTTCAGAAAATTTACAAAAGTTGGCATTTTTTGGAAAAAACTGAAATGATGAAATATATGATATCAGCAAAAAAATCTATGATGCATTGTTTCTTGGAAATCAGGTTTTTTTTTCAGGTTCTTTGGATCAATGATTTTTAATTAGCCAAAAAAAAATAAATAAATAAAACTCTTGACATCAGCATGTTTGCACATAAATATATAATTATATATGTATACTTCAACCCCATATGCAGCAATATTAGAACAAAATTGAAATATTTTAGGAATTAATTAACACTTTCCAGTTTTATTAGCATGATTAATTCCAGGAACTTTTTTATACAACTCTAAGCATACACTATTACACTTTTATTTCAATACAATTGCTACAGCAATAGCAGGATATTTCCAATAAGAGCCAGCATTTAAACCCTTGGGGGAGTCCCATGGGATCCTTCTTCTACACAACTCTGGATTTTTCCTAGTTGACCTTGCCAGCCATATAACTGACCAGATCAATGCTAACTAATCGTGTGATTTACCAGTTCCTGCTAACTGCCCTGACAAGTGTGCCAATCTCTGTACCAATGCCATAACCAATTATCCCAGATCAATACGGAATGACAGAACAATCCGATTCTTTCTAAAATGAGCATTTGCCCCCTCCTATCCAAAAGCATTTATTGCAGTGTGACACTCTTAAAATGGTCATTAAGGGGATTATTTTTAGGGATATAAATGTCATAGACTTAAGACCTCTGTAAACAATTAACTGATTTTTATTTGCAATTAAGGATAAAAAATTAGAACATTTCATATTATATTTGACAAAGTAGTCTTTGTTCAAACATTAATTAAAAATGTCCATATTTGCAACTTTCCACCTACTACATTTGCTTCAATCTATATAGACACCCTTGAATTACAATTTTTTCTCCCAACATATTTTTAAATTGGAGTTTTAAGAGTAAATTTAAACAATTCATTAACTGCTCATCCATTGAAGCTATAATAAATGAACTAAAAAGATGCAATATAAAATACAATTCATTTGCAATCCACTGTATCACTCGACTTGGACAAAAATTGCCTACAACTGCCATATTGTTGGGCATGCAATTTCAAAACTTTGTGCAGCACAGAGTTCCTTTACCAAAAGACAACACCACTGTTCCATACTTAAACTGAGTATCATAAGGTGTACTCTGTTCAGATGATGCCAGAGTTCTCCAATAGAAATCCACCTTACTTTATGTACAGTGCAGGAAACTAATTTTGTTACAGCATCGATGCTGATTTGAATGCTTCCTTTGCTTGCTGATTTGAATGCTTCCTTTGCTTGCTGATTTAATGCTAGTAATCCTTATCCTGATGCTGTTTTATAATAAGGTCAATGCTACCGGAAGTAGCATCATGCTACCGGAAGTAGATAATGAATTTCAGCATTGCCATTTAAAGCAATAAAAGTGCCTTTTACAATTATTTGACCATAATATCTCACTATGTATCAATAATGTGAATACTTTAACCAATATTCTTTCTTTCTTTTTTAATTTTTTTACTGAATTAAAACTCATTGATTTTCTGATGCTAGTAGGATAATGCTGATTTTATGTAGGTCAATGCTGGTTTTATCCTTTGCTTGTTGATGCTGATCCAGGTAATGCTGTTTTTTAAATGCTGATGCTGATGCTAGCTCGATCCTGATGCTACTAATGCTTATGCTGATGCTGGTTTATGTAACAAAATTAGTTCCCTCCACTGTAGACAGGTGCTTGTTTTCATTACAGGTAATCAAACCCAGACTTGTAGTACAATAGATTTAATTAAGAGCACAATAACCAGACAATCAAAACAAGCTGTCTAGTGTCCCTGGCACCTGTGTTTACTTCCAGCATCTGAACAAAATACTTCCTATAGGTATCATACTATTGGTCTCTGTCAGTCTAAACCATTATTACTCCTAAAATGTTTGAAGTTTTAACTTTATTACTAAATTCTTCCTTCTTTCAACATTTTGGAAATTCAGAAAAATTTTACAAGTAATTTTTTTCTTTCTTGGGGCATAGGGTGGGGGTGGGGTGGGGTGGGTGGGAGTGTTAGGGACTGACTGAAATTTATATGACATGACATTGCAGATTTTAAACACTGGCTTCAACCATTTTCATAAATAAACATTATCAAAACTAGCCCATATAGAATTGTCCTTCTGACAAGCATAAATATGCAAATTGAGAGTAAAATATACAAGGGCTTCATGTTTTCATGTATTCCAAAAACTTGCTGGAATTTCATTGGTATGTCAGAGTTTAAACCTGTAGGAAGACTAACCCATATTTGTTTACTGACCTTCATGTCAGTGACAAAATTCCACTGTTACCGAGTATTATCCTCAAACACAGTAATTAACAACTCAAAACAGTCTACAAACAATCCATTGTTTATGATCATTTTAAAATCAATTGTATACTAATGTTTCAATAAACATGCATAAGGTACACAAGATTTTACATGATGATGGCATAAGAATTTATTGACCTAGAAATGATAAGTATTCAATAATTTGTCTTCCTCAGAATTCTGCAAAGACACTACCAAGCAATCTTGAATGGAACAAGAGCACTGGTGAATTGGGGGGAGGGGGGGAGTAGTGCGCCTCAGCCCCCTTTATGTGACCAAAAATATAGTAATACATTAGATTAATAAATTATTTTTTTTTTGGTTGTGGGATTTTGCATTTATTATACTTAAAGTATACATAAAATAAGACAAAAACTGTTCCATGATAAAACTCGTAAAATCTTATAGATTCCTAGGCTTTGCCCCCCAGGCCCCGATCCCAGATTCCCAACTAGTGTCTCTTCCCCCCCCCCCCCTCCCCCCTTTTCAAGAATCTTGAAGAGCTAGGGCACTGTAGCTGGGCATGTCAAGTACAACTGCAAAAGCACTGTGATACCAAAAGGCTTAATGAAATTTTTCTCCAATTAATTTTTAATTCACACATGGTTTATTTTCATATGTTAAACAGTATCAAATGGAGAATCATTAAAATTATTGCAGATAAATGACCATTCCTATGTTATAAATTCATTCTCTAACTTTGAACCCATCTCAAGAAACTTTCAGCATGTACCAGTTATTATAATATACGAGAATGAACAAACTGTCATGAAATTTAAAGAGTCTTTTAATGAGAACATGTTCTTAAGTTTAATTATTATAACATGTACTTTAATTAAACGAGCAAATTAAATTCTGATTGAAATCAACAGTATCCCAGACATTCCCGATAAACATCAATAAGAGATGAGGGACCAATTAAATACAAGTCCTGATGCAGGTCTAGAGAGACAGGGAAACTAATCTAAGTGACCAAATATGATTAATAAGTTATACACCTTGGGGTCATAAAACTCATTATCCGACCTAGATCCATGGGAATCCTCAACACACTGGAAGAATATTTGAGCACTCAGCAGTTTTTATTCATCCATCACATGTACTTTCAGTAATTGCAAAATATAATTTAATATAATGCTTCATTTAGAATTTCAGCTATTTTTATCAGCACACCCTGTAGCTTATGATAGGATAAATGTGAATTTTGTCTGTAATTTTTGTAAGCTATAGCACTTTAAGTCATATAAAATCAATACTTGTGGTGTAAAATACACGGCAAGTATAGATATAAGCACACAGCTTTAAGATCTATACCTGCCCATAATTTATCTGCAGACAGCTTCAAATTCAATGAATAACATAAATCTATACGTTAATATTGCCTTTTTCATGTGTCCCGGTTTTAATGTACACAATGGGGAAATGCACCAAAATCGATAAAAAAAATTTAGAAACTCACCCCTCCAACATTTTCAAACAGTTTTACAAGGCTCCGAACAGAAGCTCTTGAACCTGTGCGAACTAAGGAAATCAAACTATGGTCTCGTTTTTTAGAGAGTGATGAGCTCCGATTAGACTTCACATCTTGGGATTTTGACCGCCGTTCACGAAACTTTGTCCGTCCTCTGCTTCGAGACTCTCGTTCCTCTGACTTCACATCATCTGCAAATCCCACTTTTTTCCTTGATTTCGTTGACATTTTTTCTCTTATATTTGCACTTAATTATCCAGAACACATAAGCTGTGAGCAATATAGATATTCATTGTGCACTTCCATTCAAGAATTAAAACACACCAACACAATTGCCCAAGGACAATTCACAATAGTTTCACCATTTCACTAAAAACCAGATCCAACACAATTATTATGCAAACCTGTTTTGATTACAAGCCTCTGTGTAATGCATTAATTTCAGAATTTATTTTGGGTGTAGCAATTGTAGAAAACACTTCTTGATTTTTATCACGTCATAAACATCACAAGTACTTAGCCCAAATTCATTTAAGTGGCCATTAGAAATCCAGGAAAAACTAACAGCAGCGAGCAGTGAACAACGATTGACCAACTTCCTTAATAAAGGGCTGTCACCAAGTTCCATCAGTTTCACCGCAAAACTAAACCCTACTTTTATACCTGAATTTCACGTATTCTACAATCCTCGCCAAATGGATGGTCTTTTTTACACTGAAACTCGACCTTCTGTAAAACTAATCAATGGTGTAACATTCCAAGTGTACATGTATAAGTCAATTATCAGAGTGGAGAATAATACATTGGGACAGGGAGTTTATACACACGAGACAAGGGACAGGTAAAAATTACCGATAATCACTAATACAGATGGTCAATTAAAGCTGTCGCAAAGCCAAGCAAATAATCCATCTGAAGTTAAACAAGGCCCAGTTTTTTCAATGTGGGTACACTGAAGCACCCTGATAATCTGTCGAAGGGGTTATTAATCCAAAAGGTTAGACCATAAGCAAAGAAAACAGTTAATCCTTGACGGGGAACAATAGTTCATCTAGCAGGCCGTTAAGTCATTTATTTCACGTACCAGCCTAACACGCCTAATTAAATTTCTTTCTCTCCAACTGTCTATCACCCATTTGTGTACATCAGCTGTTTTACGTTTATAGGGGGATATATTATAAAACAATGCACTGTATACACATTAAACGTTGGGAGGATATGAACTCTAGGTAGTTGAACAGTAAGGGCTTCAATCAGCTTCGCTTTTTCCACTTCATTACACCTAAGTCAGCTGCATATTTCTCTTCCTCATACTTGGTTCACATCAGGATATGAAACTCAATTTTATCACAATTCTTATCCTTCCTAAATGTTATTTCCTCAAAATGCCCTTTTATTTCTTATTGACACACTTCCTCAAACCTTGACCTTTAGCTTTTTTCCAGTCAATTACAGGTAAAATTGTACCAGTGAAGTTTTTTAATTTTTGATGAAATAGAAATCCAATTTCACACACCAAACTTTTGAAATCTTGAAAAAAATTCACCCACTTTCATCTTCATAAAAACAATGATTATTTTGATGCTGAACTATCCTTCCTCAAGAAAAATCCTTTTTAAGTATCAATGTCCCCTTCAATGTATCATCAATTTATCATTTTCCTCGAGTAGATTTCCAAAAATCTAGCCTTCCTTCTTTCAAAATGTAAACTGAAGTTCCAGGTGCTTAAAAAGCACACCTTTTCAACACAACATACCTCATCAATGAATAATAAAATACACAATTTCTAGGTACACAGTTGGCTTAAAAAATCAATACATATTTTTTTCCCTTCTGATTTCTCTTGAGTAAAGTGTCTTCAATACACAATAAAATTGTACACACTCAAATTCACACAGTAAATAAAAAATATCGTGTACATCAGCACATACAATAGGTATATCGTCTACATCAGCAAACCTCTCTTAGACATGGGTCCAGCGCTAATGTTATGTGACTCTCAACAATGTTTATCGTTACAAACGACATGTACATCATCTAAGTCAGAAACCATAAGCACCTACTCTGATCCTCATAAAATGCCATTCATTCAAGGAAGAGATGACGGCTAACAAGCTCCTGGATCGACTTTCGAGGGCACTGTCATTTGTGTGAAAAGATATATATTCCTTCTCCTCACAAGCACAAAGACAAAGGGTTTCAGAAAAAAGATTCTATTAGGCTGACTCCTTGTAATTTTGCACCTTCCAATCAGACCTTAATTATAGAGAAGTTGTAGCTTTTCTGCAGTGTATAACCCTCAGTGTTTTCTCAATAAACTAAGATTTTCTCAAAGGATATATATATATACACACACATGTAAGTACAAAACACATAGTTGTACTTTCACCTGCTTGTTGACATAAAAGATCAAAATAAACTCTGTTGTAATCCTACTTTTTTTGCCTTCCAGTTACATTTTCCTTACAACAATCAATTCTTCAGATTAAGAAAAGTTCAATCATGTAAAATCACTGAAAGCACCCACACACAATTTGTAGAGGGCTTGTTTTACATTAAATCCAAGATTCAAAACCCCCCAGGGACTTTGTTCGTTGGTTTTGATATTGCATGAAATCAATATACACCTTTCATTGATACAGATCTAATCCTTTTCATTTGATGTGAAATTCTTCACTACCATTTTCCCTGACTGCACAGGTAATAGTATTTCATTGGGGCACCTTGGTCAGACTTGGAGAAAACAGGGGTTCTGTATGATATGTGTTTACACTTGCAGCACAATAATTTTGGCAATAAAATTCCACATGGCTTCACAGGAAATGAGATTGCCTTGTTCCCTTAGTTCCAAACATTTGTTTGATCCTGACCTTCCGACAGATTGCCAGTCTACTCCTCACTCCAGGTCACACAAATTCAGTTGTCAGTGGTCCTTCCATTCATCAGTGGGTAATTACAGTATCGAATTCCTCTTCAGTCAACAGACAAGTGTTTTTACAACAACCTGGAATCTTTGGGTCATTAAAATGACTTCTCCTCCTCCCATCTTTACAACAAAAGTCATGAATGTAGATATTTTGGGGCACCAGGATATTTCCTACCGAGAATTATCACCAAAACTGACGGACATGTTCCCCCTGTTATATGTTCCATTCATAAGAATATCACAGATAGATTAGATACTAACTTTGTCTGTGATTAACATAAAGATTGAACAATTCCAACCCTTTCCTAAATCACTAAGCATTATAAAATCCAATAACCTGAATCTTATATCTTCACCATTGTTGAAGCAGGTTCAAATTCCAAAAGACAACCTTTTAAATTTTATGAATCACATTTAATTTCCAATTTCAGGAAGAATATTATTATCCATTCAACATGCAGGACAATCCCTTCTCTGCTGTGTAAATTCCCAAAGGTTTGCATTCCTGTGGTGAACAGGTAAAAAACAAATAATGGGTACGTAATACACAGATCTTCTCAACGCTATTAAAAAAAACTCTTCAATTGTCATCAATACAGGTAAATGCCGAAGAAAATCTGCATAAACACGCAAAATACTAGATGAATCAATAAAGCAGATGTATTTTAAGAGTACTAAATATTTCAGCACATTGTCATTCCTTTAAAAAACTGCATTTTTCCCTCTCCAGGTGATATTGTAAACTGGGAATACTGTATCTTTAGAATTCAATGTTTTCTCATGCAAATATCATTCTGCAGTAAATCCCCAATGACAACAAATTTGACCTTCAAAAAATTCCAAGGTCTTTTTTTGAAACAGTAACTTTGTAATACAAGTACAATGTATACCAACATCGATTGTTCTTACGTCTTGTGGAAGGAAATCTGTTGAAGGAGTCAAGAAAAACACAAGCTCAGCAGGATTTTGATGAAGAAAAATGTTTACACCTTGCTGTAAGCCTTAGAACAAATCTCCCTTGCAGAAGAGTTCATCATCCTGGATTATCGGAAGCAATGAGCTGTAGTTTACGGTTAACTTTTGGCCTTGATGTCACCTAAGCACAACAGATTCTCCTCCCAAAATTTCACCTGGAATTCCTGGTTTGAATCTGACAGTTGCATCATTTAGGATTTGTTCTGTCAATCACTTTAAATATACTGCCTGATGGTTTTCTCATTAACAGGATTAATGAAATAACTCAGTAAAATTTTTACTTTCTAAAAAATATATTTTCAATAAGAATAAAATTCACAGGGGGCTATGATCATAAAGAAATGATTGAAAAATTTAATCACTATCAAACTTCCCTTTTCAAGGATCAATTAACATGATTAATGACGTGCCCTTAGCTATAATGATACTACAATATTAATTTGAATTCAAAGTGTTTTTGATGACAAAATTCAAAGATATGCATGAATTTTATACACAGGCCAATTCTCATAAATACCTTATCATAAAAAGACTTTTATGTATAGTCTATTCTGAATTTTGTTTCAACATTACAATTGCCATATATTTTCTGCATCTTTGAAAGCAACTGCCAAATATTTCTTTCATCTCATAAACAAATGCATGGAATTCCACTATCTGTTCAGATGCAAATTAATTGCACAAAAAAGCATTAATTAGAGTTGCTCAAAATGCATGCTTGAATGCAAGAAAATTCAAACGTAGGATAAAAACAAGAAATTGAAAGATCAAGAAGTCTGAGAGCCACAGAGTTCACTGCACTTAACAGAGGAAGAACTTAAGTCAAAATTGGCTCTTGATACCTCATAGAGCCCTTCGCCTGTTAATAATTATAACATGTGTATGTATAAAGACCAGGGGATGACTTTCAAGATTTTTGGCAACTATGTACCAATTCCTGTTCAAAAGTGTTTTTCTGTATACATATAATATCATTAACATTCTTCAACATTGTCCTCTGGCAGCCAGTTCCTATTCTTTGCCATGGATCCAAAATTTCAAATAATTTCTTTTTCTCAAACCTAACATCTGCCATGCATGATCTGTACATCACATGTATTATAATTCTGTAATTTGTCATGTGCAGAAATCTCATGCATGCAATCTCATGCAATGAATACAGATACTTTTCAAATAAATGGTTGAAAAATATCTAATAAGTAAAATAAACTAAAGTTATAGGAATCATGAATTTTCCATACTTTAAATAGATGTACATTAAAACGGACTTTTTCATGAAAAATTATCATTAATCTAGATATTTACCAATTATTTCAAAACCATATTGGCAAATAAAGATATTGTAACAGGGCGGGGAAAAATGCAACATACCAGATCAGAATTCGAACCCGGGCCCCCCCGAATCTCCAGTCAGGTACTCTACCAACTGAGCTATCTGGCCACCGGTAATCAATCATTATTATCAAAAGATCTTGAAAGATCACAAGTAAAACTTTTTCTATAAGCAAG